CCTGGAAGAAAAGAACAGCCAGCCCTGGTGAGTGAACACCTCCTGCCTCTCACACGCTTCACTGCCAAATCACACAGACAATCTCACAGACAAACCCATCTCACAGACAAACAGGAACTGGCTTTTATGCTTAAAGGGTGTTTATGTCTTGCATAATTTATTTGAGGTCCTATCCTGCTTCCATCAAGCTCAAGAATAAGCTCTCACATGTGATTCTAAAGGTAAGAGGGTCCAGCTCCTTATGAAGGAGCTTCCCTGGAGAGATGCCCTGTCAGAGGCTCAGCTGGGGCCAACCTCCCCTTTTTCTTTTCTCCCTCTGCTTCCCACTCCCCATTTAGTGTGGTTGGAAGTGCAGAGTCCAGCAGACCCTGCACAGGGCAGGAGAGCTCCCAGAGGAAAGGAACAGGACTCATCTCTTCCGAACAACAGCCAACACAACTCCTCACTACCCCGTCCAAAAAGAGACCAAGAAGCCAAACAACAGGAGACCATTTTGAAGGGGTGAAAAAAATTCCAAATTAACCATGGCAGATGATCTTTAGGAGATGGGCAAGTGTGTCAGCTCTTTCAGGAGTACAAAAGCTTTGCTGATGGACTGACAATGCAGTTAACTGCATCCATACCCTCCTGACAGAAGGGAGCCTCTCCCCAAAACACAAATATTTAAGGGTGAGTGCCAAGGGGATGGGACCAGGCTCTTTCCAGTGACAGGACAAGGGGCAATGGACAGAAACTCATGCACAGGAAGTTCCATCTGAATATGAGCAAAAACTTGTTTGTTGTGAGGGTGGCAGAGCACAGAATGGCTGCCCAGAGAGTGTCTTGGAGATATTCAAACCTTGCCTGAACACAATCCTGTGCAACCTGCTCTAGTGAACCTGGGGGTTGGACCAGGTGATCTCCAGAGGTCCCTTCCAACCCCAACCAGTCCAGGATCCTGAAAAACACAAGATGCAGCTCTAGGAGTGTGCAGGGGCTGAATCAGCGTTCCCATTACAAAATGCACTGCTTCACACAACTCTGACCCACAGAGCCACAGCACAGCAGGAGCCAAGAGAAAGCTGTCATTTGGAACAGGGTAAAGCCTGCACATGTCTTTAAAATGTTTTACTATATCAGCTTCTCTGCTAAGGGATATTTGAATGTAGATATGTAGTTTGAATACACAGGACATGTGCCATATACAGTCTGACCACAGAATAGATTATGGCTGGGAATTAGCTAAATAAATTCCACCCAGAAATTAATTCACAACTTTAGATTTGTCAAATAATTTCCACCTCATCTCCAAAGTGTGGGTAAAATCCTACACTCAAGTAATTGATGAAGTTATCCACAGACTGTGGGATGTCATCCTGAACAATCTTTTACTTGAAGAACAATGATGAGCATGCAAGCACTGCACTTTAATTACAGAGACAAGAGAAAGAAATGAAGAGGACATTTCAGGACATGCCAAATGCAAGTAAGTTAATTTTCATGTTTTTATGTTTATAGCAGGATAATCTGCTGCTCAGATATACCATAGAGCACTTTTACTATAAACTCTGAATAAAAATGGCCATGTTTTTTGCATTTAAGAAGTCTATCTGGATTTCTGCTTTTCATTTACTGGAACAAACCTGATCCTGCTTCCGGAATGAGAGCTTCCCCTGGGGTTAAAGCATTCACACAGTGATGATTTCCACTTGCACAGAACTTCAGTGACGTGAGGTCTATAAAGGTCACAGCTGGACTCCTGCAAGGCCTCTGACACAGTCCCCTCCTGCACCCTTCTGGAGAGGGATGGGTTTGATGTTGGGCTGTTGGGGGGATGAGGAATTGGTTGGATTGTCCCATCCAGAGGGTAATGGCCAACAGCTCCATGTCCAGACAGAGGCCAGGGGTCTGAAATGGGACCAGCACTGTTTAATTAATGGCACAGACAGTGGGACCCAGTGCAGCCTCAGCAAATCAACAGGTGACACCAAGGCCAGAGGGGCTGCTGACACTCCTGAGGGATGAGATGCCATCCAGAGGGACCTGCACAAGCTCAAGAAGGGGGATCACAGGAATCTCATGAGGCTGAACAAGACCAAGTGCTGGTGCTGCACCTGGGTCAGGGCAGCCCTTGGTATCAATCCAGGCTGGGGATGAAGGGATCAGAGCAGCCCTGCCAAGGACGCAGTGCTCCTGCTGGAGAGGCTGGCAATGTGTGCCTGCAGCTCAGAAAGCCAATCCCACTCTGGGCTGCACCCCCAGCAGCGTGGGCAGCAGGGCCAGGGAGGGCATTGTGTCCCTCTGTCCCTCTGCTGAGAGGCACCTGCAGTGCTGGGCCAGCTCTGGGACCCAGCACGGGAGAGATGGCTCAAAGGAGGCCACAGAGATGCCCAGAGGGCTGGAGCACCTCTGCTGTGAACAGAGGCAGGCTGGAGAAGAGAAGGCTCTGACAGACCTTACTGCAGTCCTTCAATACCTGAAGGGGGCCTATGGAAAAGATGGGGACAAAGGTTTTAGCAGACCCTGATGGGATGGGACAAGAGATAAAAGTTTTGAAATGAGAGGGTAGATTCAGATTATACACAAGGAAGACTTTTTACAATGAGAGTGGTAAAACACTGGCACAGGTTGGATGCCCCATCTCTGGAAACATTCAAGGTCAGGTTGGATGGGGCTCTGAGCAACCTGGTTGAATTGATGTCCCATCTCCTTGCAGGGGGGTTGGACCAAATGGCCTTTAAAGGTCCCTTCCAACCCAAACCATTCTGTGATTCCATGACTCAGAGTTTCTTACCAATGCTGAAGCCAGTTTGGAGATGTCAAAATTACCCTAAGAGATTAAATACTTTGGACACATTAACCTGATTTTGAGTCTCTTATTATTTATGTGATCACACATGGATTCTGCCTGTGCTCTGTGGTCTGTGAAATACTGTCTGCAGAAGCAAGCAGTGCTAATTACTTGTTCACATGTGGTTTCCATCCGTGTTTATTTTGTGGGTATTAACCTGAAATTAAGTCAACAAAAAAGAAAAAGAGGAACAACAAAACTGAGTATTTTCAGAGGCAACACAAGCCTCAGTCTCGTGACAGCTGCTGTGCCTTTGCAGAATTTTAAGATACAGACACACATTTTTTCCCTTCTGCTGCTATTTCTGTTATGCACGTAAAAGGGAGAAATCAGCTTCCCAGAGAAAATAATGGCTTCAGCTGTGACTGATACAGAACAAATCAATATCCACCTCATCCAGGAACAAGACAACAGGCACAGGTTGCATACTGCAAACTCTTCAGTCCCAGACTCCCACCTCTGCTGCTTTAATTCCAAGGCAGCTGGCACAGCACGCTGGAATTTCACTCAGCAGACACTTGAAAGCAAGTGGGACAAGCACAAGCTCCCTCTCTGTGCATTTCTCTCCCTCTCTGTGCATTTCTCTACGTGCACACAAACCTGTCTTCAAGAAATCAAGCATGAGACAGACCCAACGACTTCACTCCAATGAATGTGTCAAATACCAGGGAGAGAGTGGATAAACACCTAAAAAGCAAGTTATACACTGTACCTGCAATAAAATAAATCTCACAATCATCCTTCAGTTCCCCACCCTCAATTTGGCTCTGAACCAAGTCAGGCCCATGAGGGCTTTACTGAGAATTCAGAGTCTGAAACTCTTGGTCTACTCACACAACAGGTAAAAAACCTGGGATAATAGATCTTGAGAGGGCACATGATCCAGGTGCATCATAGCCCTGACACTCACTGCCCACCTCATCTCAAAATAGCACAAAGTAATCTGGAAAGCAACAGATAAGGATGTTGGGGACAACATGAATTTAACACAAGTGACAAAAAAGGTCATTTTAGAGAGATGTCATTTTCAAATTGAAGCTGCACTTTTAAATAACCAGCAGTTATTCAAAACAAAACCAAGTGAATCATCTCACTTATCACCAACAGGCAAACCCAAACCAACAATGGATTCACAGTTGTGGCTAAAGGGTATTACCAGTTTGTGAAAAATCACATGGAAGCTCAATACTTGTGGTTGAAAAGGATTCAGTTCCAGAGATGATTCAGGCATCTTCAGCACAGCTGTAACCACACACTGGAGTATGTTCTGTACCTCAGAAACTGTTTCTAAACTCCAGGATAACCTTCTAAACCTCATGTTCAGGAGTTGTTCTGAAAGAATTGCCCATCTACCCTCAGGGGGAAAAAAAAATAAACCCAACCCCTCTTCAATCCTTTGCCAGCTAATCTATAAGAGAGCAATTCTGAAACACTCTGGTGCTGCTTTCAGTTGTAGTGCACATGTGTAACTACAGCCCAAATACCAACACCAGTTGCCTGCTCCTGGGAGGGCTGGAGGTGATGCAGAGCCAGGAGCACAGGCTGGAGTCTGCCAGCAAAGCAGAATAAACATGAAGTCTCACCCATTTTACAAGCACAGGGCTGGTTTTGCACCACTCAGTGGGTATTTGGAGGAATAATAAAATAAAGCTCTCCTGGGGAGATGTCCAAGCACAAACCTCTCTGCAGAGAGAAACTTTTCTTAAAGGACCCAGCCAACCTCTGAAAGGTTTTGGTGGAGTCTCCTCACATCAGTCTGTTCCTCCATAACTCTGAAGGCAGTGCTCATTTTTGGGTTTCAGCATCCCCACTCAGCGCATGTGATACCAGTTTCTTTCAAACCAGTGTTTGGGATTTTAAGCACCACTGCTGTAATTACAGCCATCAATTTCTCCAACCCACCAAAGATCTCCCCACTCTTCCAGGTGCACTTAGGAGGAGAGAATGAAGCTGCTTGCAAAATTCTTGGGTATTTTCATGCAGGAAATAATGCCAGTTGAACAGTTCTCATACTCATACAAATTAGCTGCTGTTTGGTTGAATACATTCATATCTGCTATGAAAAAGATGGCTCTATCAGCTGCTTCTTTATGAGCTTGTTCTAAACCAGTGATGTGACAGTGCAAAACTACTTACTTTCTGTTTCATCAAGAAGTAATTCCTTCAGGCATTAAGATGTGACATAAAATCTTTTACTAAATTGAGCAATTTCATTAAGTTTTCTGTGAAGAAAGCAGGATACAGCATGGAATACAAAAGCTGTTAAAATGTGCCAAGGGAATATCATTGGGAAGGTAACAAACTTTGCAAGCCATAGGCCTGTATTACACATTTAAAACATTGTCTGAGACATTAAATAACCACAGAAACAGTTTTATATAATATGATTTAGCATCTGTTGCTCAAGAACTCAGGAGCAAACATTTACTCTTGTTTGATTAATATTAGGAACTTAAAAAAAAAATAAAAGGCATTCTTCTGATGACTGAAATACATTCCCAGGGGGAATTTAAGCACCACAGTTTTTTTCCACAGAAAACCTCCAAATAAAACACGACCAAGTATTGCCTGGAGAGATTAAACACCAGGAAGGCTCTACACAGCAGAGATTCTCACTTCAGGCAATTCACTTTTTCCTGCTTTTGAGGGAGGTGTTGTGAACTCTCACTCTCTTCTGCATGGAAGAAGAGATCTTCAGAGATGCTTTCTTTGTGAGGGACCTTTCCACAGCCCCGGGTTTCCATAGCAACAGCTGAGCATCCTCTCCACCCGTCAGCAGAGACTCCTCCGTGGGGCTCCAGCAGCAGGAGCGCACGGTGGCCGCGTGGCCCCCACGCAGGGTCCCCACCAGGCTCAGGCCCTTGGTGCTGCAGCTGAGCACGTGGATGTCTCCTGTGGAGGCTCCCCCAAGCAGGAAGAGTTTCCTTGCCTTCTCGTGGTAAAAGCCTCCCACCAGGTAATGCAGGCTGTGGTTTTCAGTGCTCACTGACTCTCTGGCATCCAGGACGTGCAGCAGGGTTATTGGCTCCTCGGTGTCCAGCTGAGCCGTGTCCCACCAGCAGAACCCCTCATCGTGTGTCATGCAATAGACCTGCTTGTAATCCTCCCCAGCCCAGCCAAGAGAACTCACTGAGGAATCTGAATTGCAAGTGGATATCAAAGCATCATCTTCATTGTCCTTGTTGATGTCAAACACATTCACCAAGCCATCGGTCGAGCCAGACACAACCAAATTGGGTTCCACAGGATGAAAACAGATTTTGGTGATGTCATCATTGTGACTCTCAGAATAGACTCCCAAGGGCTCTTTGGTGGCACTGGCACAGTCTGTAATGCCTCTTGCATCCCAAAACACAAGAAACGTGTCCTTTTCAACCTTCTCCGTCCCGGCACACACGATGAGGTCGCTGCAGCTGACGTCGAAGCTGATGAAGACGTTGGAGGGATAACCACTGAACACCTGCACTGGTTTCTGCGTGGCTGAGCGAACATCCCAGCACTTCACCGTGCCCTGGCTGCAGGCAGAGAACACCAGGCTGGCAGAGGTGTGTGCAAACCTGACGCCGGCCAGGACCCCGCCGCGGGCGCCGTACTCGCGCAGGAGGCGCAGCGTGTCCCCGTCGTACACCCTGAGGGACTCATTGGAGCAGGACACGGCCACCAGGGGGCTGGCCCCGGGCTGGGCAGCTCTGGAGGTGTGGATGTCCAGCAGGTAGGCGGGCTCCTCGCTGGGCACACAGCGCCTGGCAATGCGCAGCCCCGCCAGCTGCTGCTCCACCTCCTCCACTGCCGACATCTCCCCAGCAACCTGCAGCAAATAAAAGGCAAGGAGAGCTCTAATTACAACATTCTTCAACAGGGTTAGCTTTAAAAACTCATATGAGGAAGCATCGTGTGCAGAGGTGATGCACGCAGATAAAATTCAATTATCCCCATGTCCTCCCCACACAACTTCATTCACAGGAGCACAGGACAGGAAAGGGCTCCCTGACTCAAGGAGTTCAGTCTCTCGTGTCTGAAAGCACTACACCAGATAATCCCCTTAACAGATTAAACAGCCTATCTGGGAAAATCACTCAGCTAAATTTGCTTTATTATTTTTATAAAGTAACATGATGTTCTCAAAAGTGGAAACAGAATGAAGTCACCCCTGTACCTGAGGAGGAGTAAGTTCTGTTCTAGGAAGCACAGCCCACAAACAGCTGCATCACTGCAGCTCCAGGAGACTTCTTCAGTGAACTTCTGTGCCGAGGGACGTGCACAGGGCAGGCAGAGAACAAGACCAAAATGACACAGCACTGCAGCCTGAAATGGCCTGGTGAGGTAATTTCACAAGTATTTAGGTGCCCAATGACGCACAGAAACACCTGCCAGGGTATCAGGGACCACCTGAACAGGCAATGTCACCTGTGGAATTCACTGCAATTAAGCACCTCAGCGTTTTCTGAGCCTCCTGTAAAACCACAGAACTTTTAGTGAAGCTGATAAAAATCTTCCCTTCAGAGGCAATTCCTCTCTGGCACTACTGAACCCTCCTAGAAACCCAAACTATTTCAGCAATGCACACAAATGCAAACTTCACCCAGCAAAACCAAAATTAAACAAAATTCTCTTGGATTCTCTCACAAATTCACTTCTAAAATATGCCCTAAAAAAAGGAAAAACATACTTTTCCTTTCTATAATATAACAGAAAATTCTATTCTGTAATTGCAGTAAAGACTCCATCAATCCAGAGTCAGGAAAAGCACAGCAGCATTTACATTTTAAAGAGATATTTGCAATAATTTTAGTGATTCACAAACTACAACTATTTTTTAAAGCAAGATGTAGGTATGTTCTTACAGTCATCCACTTCTGACAAGAACACAGGTTCAATGAGACCACTATTCTGTGTTTAAAAAGAATCCAAACTTAAACATTCAGGGAATCACAGCACGTTTTAAGGGGTCAACACTCCAGTGATTTCTCACTGGTACTGATATCTCCTTAAGGTCTGGACCAGCAGCCAGTCCCAGGTACCATATGCATGAAATGACCCTTTAAAGAAAAAAATGCAAAGAGAAATGGAATAAAAAAACCAGGCAGACACAGAATGTGAGAAAAACATTCTCATGCCTACCCAGCTGTTCTATCATCAATTTTTCTGCAAATTCTCCAGGCTGGATTTTTAGGGGTGGAATGTGCAAGTTTCCATGTATTACTTGCTTTAGTTGCAATTATTTTAATTGCCCATGAGAGACCAAAAACAAAGGAGAAGTTGCTATGACAAAGCTGCATTCTGCTTTTTTTTTTTTCTTCTTGGCATTGTTTGTGGTTTCAGGGGTTTGCTTTCCCTCCTCTGGTTTGGTGTACACAAATATTCACGACACCATGTGACAAACCAGCAAATTCTTAAAAAACAGCTTAAGCAGGCACACATAAAAACTTAATTCCCAAGTCACAAATAATCTCACTAAGTGATTTGCCTCAGTAATATCCTGACAATGAGGTCCCCAGGTTAATCTTCTACATCAAAGCAACCTTTCAGAGCACATCTACCAGGCATTTCTGCCATAAAATGCAGACATCCTGTGGAAACTCCTTCCCCCTCTGAAGCAAAGAAGTTGAACGTGTTTTCTGGCATTACCCTGTGCACAACCTACCCACAGAACTTGTTCCTTCCTTACTTTTCTGGGTATGTCCTCAAATGAAACAAGCTTTTACTAGAACTATTACATAAAGCCAACTGCTCCCAAACGCTGTTTGCCACGCTGCTTAAACACAAAACTGTTAAACAGCCATGCAAATTAATAATATTAACTGAAGAAATAAAATATTTTTAACATTATTAATTAGGAAAACTGCTTAATTCAATTTAGTGAAGAATTACAATGGAAGCTTCTATTTAAACAGAGTTTCAAACACACATGCTTGAGGGTGGGGAAAGGAGTTTTCGTAAACCAGCTCTCCTGCAGTGCTATGGTTACTAAAAAAATCTGGTTCTCTCTGTGAATTTCTTGTAAGAAAAATATAGTTTTCCAAGCTGACCTGAATTTTAAGCTCTAAATATTCAGACTTAGTCTACTCAAAAGGCCAAGTAAACTCAAACAGACATGTTCCTGACAAATGTCATCCATTTGGAAGGCAAGCTGCAGTTGTTTAAATATTACTGACTATGATAGAGAGTATCTTTCAATAAGCAGTTTCTACAAGGCTCATGTCAGAGCTTTTACTGCTGGGGAAGGTGAGGGAACTCTGCAAATACCCAGAAGTTGTAAAAAGCCAGAGTCTGCAAAAGCAGGTTCATTCAGTTTTAATAATATTTTCTGGGAAATAAAATTAGCTCAATACAACTCCTAAGCTTTTGCCCAGAATGACTTAACTACAGCTATTCTGAAACACCAGAAAATGATGTTCATGTTTTCAGACAGAAATGCAATTTCTACCACCAGGAAGGTGAAGGTTCAATTCTATTTCCACTGCAGAAACTCAGACTTGTGTTCCATGGCAGCCAGGTTTTTGCTAAAAACTCCGTAAAATGTCTGCTTTAGCAAGAAAGTCTTCAGACTATTATGAAATTGTGATTGAAGGTTATATAAACAATTCATGCTCAAACTTCAGGGTGTAGCTGCCAGCCCTTCCTTTTGAGAAGGGGAAGTCACTGTTGTATTTTGATGGGAAAGTTTAAATGGCAGGAATAGGATCTGTGTTAAATTTATGAGACAAATAGGAAACAATGGTCTTCCAAACACAATAGGAGATAACTAAGCACTGGACTGCAGCCACCTACAGAGCACATGCTCCTCTGCACTGAAGCACTTTCAGTTCCTTAAGCTCAACAACAGAGGTGTCTGTTTTCCAAAGAATCCTTTGGCAAAATCAGAGTCTGAAATGTTCTGGACATAGCACAGCAGCCAGTTGTGATCAGAGAGGAGAACTGCTCATGTCTGTATGACAAACTCCCTGACATAAAGAGCCGTACCAATAGCTTGCTCCTGGACTACTCCAGTCTCAGGAAAAAAATCACAGAAGGCACTGGCCAAAAGCTCTTCTTTCCCCACGGACCCTCCTCTGCTCAGAATGTGAGTAAATTCATTAAATTCAGGTTTTTCAGTTTCTCCAGCAAAGTCACCCACAGTCTGGACCTACAGTCTCAACACTGACAAAATACAGGGGATGCCAAGGTGCCAGGACACCCCCACCAGCACTGGGATGGCACACCAGCACCTGGCTGAAGGTGGCTGGCTCTGGCCAGTCACTCGTGCCTCACACAGAGGTGCAATCCCATCCTTGGGATCACCATTCCTTACCTGGAATGAATCTTTCAGCTGCATCTTTCAGCTGCATCTACACCTGCACCCCCTGAGCCAGGAAAAGCCACCTTTTACAAATTAAACCTGAAACTTATATGTTATTATATCCAGACTTGGAACTACACTCAGGTGATCTGTTCCATGAATTAAGTACACAGTTACATGCAACCCCTGCACATCCCCTGGATACCACAACTACCAGAAAAAATAAGCTTCTGGAAGGACACTCAAAACTCATTACATCTTGGGAACTCAGAATAAATACCATTCTCTGAAATAACCTAAAATATTTTGACCTCCAGGGCATCCTACAAAGCTCCTTTAAAAAAGAAATAAACTCAGTGTTTAGAATAGAAGGCACGAAGTGGAAGTGATGCCAAAGAGGCAGGACAGGATTTTCAGATGCCTTTGTTATGTGTTTTTCACTGGTGGAGTGTGGAAACAACCACACAGCAAGACTAGAAGCAAACAGCTGTGCTAAAGGCAGCCCTTTCCAATGGAGGAGAAATAAAAAGAAAGCACCTATCTGCACAAACTAAACTTAACATTGTCCCAGCACTTACTGCTGAGCTGTTTGTGCAGCATTCTAAACTCTGCAGCTTCAGTTCAAGCCAACAGGCTCATCAGTCCTCTTCAATCCAGAACGTTTTTCAAAAGATAAACCAGCAAATCATAAGTTATTTCCCTTTTCCTTTGAGCGGTGTACAGAAGATGCTGCCAAGTTCTCCTTTCCAAAAGGGAACGTTAGCTCAAAAATATATAGAAATACAAATTTTCCTTTGAAAAATACAGGGAAAAATGGCACATTTTCAAAGATTTAATCACTAACATAAGAGTAACTTACAAGTAGGAGGGTAGAAACACGTAATAAAAATGAAAGAGACCTGTAGTTCTGGCAATCTTCTCTGCAGAGGTCAAACACCAAAAATAGCAAGGGATCTGAACAGCAGCAGATGAAGTCTTGCACTGTTCTTTCCTACCACAAACAATACAAGCAGACCCTCCCTTTATTTTCCCAATTATTACAAGTTCCAGAGCAGGCTGAGAACAAACCCAGAGCTCTGGGCAGCGGGAGGCAGCTCCTGCATGAACAGCAC